TTTTTAGGGTTTCAGGGGAAGGGCTGAAGTTGTAAAGGTTTTTCCTGTCGAAAGACCAGCCTCTCAGGACCTAGTCCTTAGCCATGCCTGCCCTTATATTCACAGTCACAGCTTTCCAAAAGGCAGTCATCAGCTTCCGAGAGCCCTACGGTATGACTCTGTTGGAGCAGCTTTTCTTGCATCTTTTTTTTTTTATTTGAGTCATTCCCAGAATCAGTTGGGAGCTGGTTACTGAGTATGTCTGCTTCTTTCCTGGGGCCCATCATCCAAGGGCAACCACTTTGGGAAAATCTCCTTTTATTCAAGCTTTTCTCTTCTTGCCTGTCTTCATCTGTCTCATGGTGACTTTCATACACATTGTGTTGGCTTGGACTTTCTCCCCTTTTGAGTGTGAAGGAAGCTCTCAGTGTTCATCTGGGAAGCATTACTTATGTCATTTAAAACATTCCTGGATTACCATGATATTGTTAAAATTTAGAGGCCAAGTGTAAATATATTTGCTGCAAACTCATAATGTATTCAGCCTTTTATAGACACCACATAAGCTTCATTAATAAAAGTAGCGACAGGCTTGCTATTAGAACCACCTCAGCTAGGAGGCCTGCACCTGAACTGTGGATTATCATGGGACTGTGCTGGAAGGACTTCGCACCGTCGCTGCTCTTTTGCCAGTGTGTGAGGCCCACTTACACCAGACACTGCAGGCATCTGCGGCGCTTTTTTTGGTAACAGATATTTTTTGTGTCTCCTGGGAAATAGAAAACATAAAGGCAAATCAGAAAGTTCTGATTTGTTTTATTCACATATATAGATATATGAGAGCTATGTCTTCTTCAGAAGAGTTCAAGAGTGGAAGGAACATTACAGTATTAAGGAAAAAAGGTACAGTTATTATTAATAAAAATAATTTTTAAAAAATCTTAAAAATCAATCCTTCACCATCAGTGTGAGAAGATAGTGTTTTACATACTCTGTGCAAGACAGACCAGTTGTCAATGTCAGTAGAGGATACAGTTGACGCTCCAGCATGGGATTTCTGGGAGGCATTTGCATCCAGAGAAGGCACTTCATCAAAATCATCCTGAAGAGATGTGACTTTTTTGCAGATTTTGTTTTTTTCACGTTTTTGTCTGAGGAGGAATATGATTGTTGGTAATGTAGGAATCAGCAATGCTGAATCAAATACACTGGTTTTCTAACCCAGTTTCTTTTCTCATCCACAGTCTGAATATACCAAGATACTTAGGAAGTATGTGTTGAACCTTTCCCCGTGCAGATGTGTGATAACCATGTGTCTTGTTTCTGGTTCAGTTGTGTACATGTTCCAGTTGTGTAAATGCTTTTTTTGGTGTCGGTGCCAGTTTACGCCGTTCCCAGCTCTGGCTGTTCTCTTCCTGTGCTACCCCTCTAGCTGGCTTGTGTAGCTGGCTGAGGGGGCTGTGGATGAACTGTCAGGAAACGTATCTGGGTTAAAATAGTCTTTTTTGGATAGGATCCTTTGTAACTGGGGTGAGTTGTTTGATCTGGTTCATGTGTAGTTTCACAACTGTTAACTGAGCAACTGGAAGGAAGGTACCAGAGTAGGAGTGAGTGAGAGGAGATGGGATCTACTTAAGCCATTACTTCTGCTGAAAGAATTGGACATGTAACTGTGCCTTGAAAAACAGAGGTGATAGATCTGGGCATCAGTCAGTGCTTGATCGTTTGATGGAATTAAGATATGGGATATTTTGGTTTTCTTATATGCATTAATTTGACATTGTAGTCATGAAGTGCGTGGGAAAAAAAAGATTTCATTTCATGGTAGGAATGTTGTGCTGATCAGATGGTACGTTTTTGTAGGCATATTGTTATTTTGTATTTTAGTTATCATTTCAACCAGCTTTCCAGCTACCAATGTAAGATCTAATGATCTAAAATGCTGTACCACGGCCCAAGAAACTTTTGTTCTCATCTTTGTTTGTTTATAATGTGGGTACATCAGTTGCTGTCCTCCAGAACTCTGAAAGAGTAGCTCCTGGGGAAAATACTCACCTTTTTCTTATATAAGGGAGATTGTTTGAAAGTAAAGACCGAAGATGTTTATCATACTTTTGGTTATCTGCATCTATTTGAAGATTAAATATGGGGACATCTGTATATAAATTATTTATAAAGTGATCTTTTTGACAGACCTATGATGTCTTTCTTTGCCCTGTGTTATTTGGAATATACTCTGCATTGTCTGTTGAATGTGGTTTGGTTTAGACATATGTGAGATTTGCACTTGCTCTCTTGCTCTCTCTTTTTCTCTCTTTTATTTATGCACGATGGACAGTACTGATTTCTGATCATGCCATGTCCGTATTACATTAGCAGGTACATTGACTGTGTTGTCTATTATTTTCAGGCACGTGGTCATGGAGGCTATGATTCTGATTTTAGTGATGAGGAGAATGGAGGGAAGTCTGTGCAAAAGACTAAAAGGTAATGTAGTACAGAATTAGCACTTTGCATTACATATTTTGTGCAAATGGCCTATTATTGGGTATAGAAGATTATGCTGTGGTATGTAAAGTCTGGTGTTGAAATGTTTTTTGAAAAATCAGTCTCTTTGATTCCTGCATCTCCTCATGTTAACCTTGCCAAAGCATGTTGTCTCCCAGGGGCAGCTGATTAAGATCCGTTCTGCCGTGTCCATCTGGTGTCTATATGCCCCTCAGTCCTCGGAGCAGAGTGTTTCATTTTTTGTAAGCATTAGTATCAACTGCTGGGGTTTGGCTGCACTGCTCACTTCACTGTGATCCATCAGGATGCGTGGAACTGCTAAGAGAGCAAGGCAAAAAAGGCCAAGTGGCAGCAGGCTTTGTAGATATAAAACACGTGTCTGGAGGAAGTGAAGAACTGATACTACTTATTTAATTTGTGAAGATACCTGGGAATTGGTGAATTATGTTGTACTTAATCCTTGAAATGTAACTACACATCTCTTATTTGAGATTACCTTTGCCAGTTCTTTCAGTGGTTTGCACAATAAATGACCTTGAATTTTGTGGTCTGATCTCATTATATTATTAAGATTTTTATTTATTTATGTATTTATTTTGCTTTGGCACCACAGTCCTTTGACACTTTCTGCACCGTACTGAACATTTTGCCTACATTGTGCATATATTTTTCTTACCTTTTCCTGTCACTCCCTTGCTCTGTTATTGGACTTTATTTAAGAAGGCTTTCTGGAAACTTTCCTAGGACTCTTGCATATTTTCCTTTGTAGTAAAATTGAAAGAATGGGTTTTGCAGTGTCTGACTGCATTCTGGGAAAAAAAAGTCATGTTTTAATCATTGGAATAATAGCAGGCATTGTGCTGTTCCATTTATTTTATAAATATACCTGTTCTCCATTAAAACAGTGACTGGTTTCGTTCAGTTTTCGTTTTCTTTAAAAGGCCATTACACATTGTACCATTACACTTTCTAGGTGGAATATTAACTAACCATCAGGAGCCTTTCAAAAATATCATCATTACCCTTGTTCTGGCACGCTACTGCTGATTCCCAGTAGGGCTCTTATGTGGGTTCGCTGTATATGGATATATCCTTTTCTTGCTCCATGATGATATTTATTTTCACTTTAAGGAAAATAGTAGGCTTACATTTTCTCCATATTGCTGTTTTATGGAGTGTCCTTATGGGAATTTTGTGGCTACAGATCCTTTTGAGCAAATGATACCCTTAGTTTCTAGAGTCCTGTATTCCATAGCTTGAAATATAAATTCCCTGGCTTGCTTCCTACAGGTTTCTGACTTTCATTCTTTCTGCTAGCTGTTAATTACAGAAAAATCTTTTCGTCACCTCTGTTAAGGACTGAAACTAACTAAATATACCTTTTACTAGCTAAAGTGCATCACTTTATATTTAACTTTTTATTACTTTGTTGAATTCTGAAAGTATTTTTAGCTGCCCACTGACAAGTATGGTTCACAACACAGTACTTAAGTTTTAAATTATTGATTCTTGTGGTTACACTAAGAGAGGCAGAGCTGTTCAATGAGGTGTTGAGACGCTAGCATGAAAGGATGGGATAGGGTTACTAGCAGTCACTCTTATTCAGTGAACATACTGTCCTTCCTGTTCCTACTTGGCTGTGTAGCTGAGATTTATAGAGGGCTTTAAAAGTGAAGCTGAGGAATCTTCAGGGTTTTTTCATTGTGGTTCTATGGTGATAATATTGATAAAAATAAATATTGCAAATTGCTGTTTTAAGCAATTTTCTTTAAATGCCAACTGTAAGCCTTTCTGATTTTGTTCTGCAAATGAAGTAAAGTCTAAGCTGATGTTGGTTCTGAAGTTTGGTTTTATTCATGTAGAAACTAGCAATATAACTGTTTTTGTTACTCAGGTTAGTGCAAAGTTTGGCATATGGAAATTTTATTGCTTATGAAAAGTTCTTGACTAACTTTTCTTCCTTTTTTCCCCCCTTACCTTTAGTATAAAGGAAGATGGCCTTCTGATAAAGCCATTCCAAAAAGCAAAACAAGGCGGTATGGTTCACAGACAATTTGCAGCGGAAGCATGGGATAGGTACTTTTTTATCTGTTGCTTTTTATGAGGCATTTTTCCCTTAATGTAAAGATAGCTTTCACTCAAACGTATTTGTTATTAACAGGGAAGAAGCAAGAAAAAGAAGATTTCACTTGATAGCGATGGATGCTGTATCCTTCTGTTTCATTTTTCTTCAAGTTTGAAGATGGGACACAGGATATCCATTATGGTGAAATACTGGAATTTCTCAGTTATCACAGCAGTTGACAGTGCAGCACCAGATGTTGAGTCGTTCTTCAAATTAGCTTCTTTTTGTTGTTGAGATGTCTCTGTGAATGCCTACTCAGTAGAGGCATTTCCAGATTCTTCCTGTATGCTCATTTGTCCTGTTTGGGACAAAATTACTATATGGTGAATTTTATTCAGACTGGCACAAAGACACATTCCTCTTTCAGTGGAGTTTATACAGAACATAATTCTATATAAGGCTGCTATTATCTGTGGACAATTACATTTCTTCTGGAAATCTAAAAATGCATTAGTTAATTCAAAAGTCTATTCAAAATAGCCTTATCTCCAGTAATATCTTCTACAAATGCTATAATGTAAGCCTGTTTAATATCGTGCAGTTGTATTTTAGGTTTTTTTTAATCTCTTAATCATATTTCATGCATAATTTGTAACTATTTTTATAACTAATACCTTATTTAGATTGAAACCTTTCTCCTTTCATTGAGTTTTCACCTGGGGCAGTCATTAAATGTTTGGACTGAGTGTATCTGAAATACCATCAGTTCCTTGTTTGTTTAAATAGCTGTTCTTCAGCAGTAACAGTTAATAAATAGGAAAATAAAGACTAATTATATATGGAAAGACTTACTTAAATCTGGAAACTCCAGTGAACAGAAAGTAACTTCTCCTAACCTGCTTAGAGTTTGACTAGGCACTACATAAACCATCATATGCCTGTAAAGGGGACATATCTTAATGAGTCCCACTGACATTGTCAATTGTCGTTAGCCACAGAAGAGCCCGTAACTACAAAACTCATTGTGTAGAGACTTGTATGAGTTTCTGCTAATGTTTTTGAGTGGTTCCTGCTTAAAACCTTTACTGTTACGCAGTTGTAATGCCTAGTAATTCAAATGGCAGCACAAAATGGTATGCTGTGTTAAATGTGTTCAATTGTGCCAGTTAAACTTTCTGGGCTTGCTTCTCTGTTCCTTCTATTTGTGGTGGAAAGAAAAAAAGAAACATACTGAGGTTAAATTAACTTTTTGGGGGCCTTTGGAAAATAAAATGTTTTCTCAATAAAATTCTAATGCATGTCAAAATAGTAGGTTGATACAAATTATTCACATTGATGCAGTAGTTGCCAGGATATGTACCAGGAGAGAATGTGTTTCCTAATTTGCTGCTTCAGAAACACAGTAAAAGTTAATTGAAAATACTTTTAAGTAGCCATATATAATGTTTTGATTTGTGGAGATGTTTATTTTCTGAATAAGTAATTACATATTTTTGCTCAAATTATGGTACAAAATGTGTTTCAAATCATGTCTCTGAGGCTGAAGTGCTCTAAAAAAAGCATTACATATTTTCCCATGATTTTCATCTCCAAACTAAAGCAGATAACTTTTATTTGTATGTTGATGGTAAAATGTAATAAATGGTTCCATTTTAGTAATCAGACTGTTTTTATAATACAAAAATACAAACCTGTTTTAAACCAAAACTGCAGTACTAAGAAGCTGTTGTCTAAATTACAGCTGAAAAAATGAACCCAGTTTCTACGTACATGCGTACAGAGCATCTTTGATAAAGGAAGACAATTTTATAAAGGTCTGGCAGCTGAATCAGGTTTTAAAGATGAAATTGCCTTGAATTCCTGTATTTGGAAAGTAGCTTTTGTGAGGGGTTATTAAGTAAAAATTGCTAATTAATTCCTTTCTTTCTGGAAATCACTGTTTTTGAGAAAAAAATTCTTTCTGTTAAGTATATAAAAAGTTTTTATTATTTGTTTCATTTTAAAGTATGGTAAAATAAAAGAAGATAAGTTCCGAAACAATCCTTAATTGCTTTATTCAGTATGAAAGACATAAAAAGTTTGTGAATGACTACATTTTATACTATGGTGGCAAAATAGAGGATTTCCGACGTTCTGGGTAAGAACCATTAGCAATCTTTCCCCTCATGCCCCTAAAGCTCCCGTGTTATGTAAAGTTGTTAAATATCTATTATAGCTGTGTGTGGAGGGGGGATGTCGCTATACATCAAATTACTAATTCTTTTTGTCATAAATGGTAACTACAGCCATTGTAAATATCCAAAACACAGAATTGTCTTGTTTCATTTTTACCATTATTTTTATATAAGAACTTACCATGAGCTGAACTATTCTTGTTTTGTTATGTAAAAGCAAAGATGACAGGTGAGCATTAATCGAGGGTACATTGAGAAATATCTGGCATTACCTTCAAAATAACAATCTGAAATACTTGTGAAATGTGCAGAATTGCTCTCCATTGTCCAGAATAATGATAGCCTTCTTTAGAGCTATCTATAACTGCCTTTTAACATTACTGTCTTCAATAAAAAGTATAAAAAGTCTTTTCAGACAGGATCAAGTAATTCACAGTTTTAGTGGCCATTTTCCACTGTGGATTTTTCATTTGGAAAAGGTATGCCAGTGAATACATTTTTTGATAGTTTTATTCCATAGCAATATATTCCTCCATGCGGTGAGGTGGAGATCACAACTGTGAAATACTGATGTTTACCAATTTATTATTTGACTCACTTTTCATTTTAATGCTACATTGTACTAAAAAAAATGTGTCCTTTTATAGAGCAAATGACAAGACGGATCTTGATGTTATTAGAGAAAACCATAGATTCCTGTGGAACGAAGATGATGAAGCAGACATGAATTGGTACCTGGAACTATTACAGAAAATGTTATTTTTAGATCACTTGTACTGAATTTGTGGTGTCCCTACTAATTAAGAATTACTGTGCGTACTTAGTGATCATTCTTTGATCTTTAATGCATTTAAAAATTAAAGACCTTTAGGAGGTCTTTCATATTGTAATATTGCTCAGTGGCAAAATGAATTGATGACCAAAAGAACTAAGAAGTATTTGTGCATTCTCTGAGATCCAAATGACTGTTCTGAAAACTCTGAACGAAGCCTGGTTTGAAAAAATAGTTTAATTTGTGCTCTAGATATATTTTAGATGTATTTTTCCAGTTTTATGGAAATTACCTCCTAGCTCAATGAGTGCATTTCTGTTGCATTTCTAGCTCTGCAACTTGTGTGCTTCGGATGAAACAACATGTCTTTGTCTTGCTAATGTTATTACAATGTGAAATGAATTGTGCCATGTTTTATATTTAATAAAAAATAATACCTTTTGTTATAGGGAGAAGAGACTTGCGAAGAAGTATTATGACAAATTGTTCAAAGAATACTGTATAGCAGATCTCAGTAGATACAAAGAGAATAAGGTACGTTTCATTATTGTAAATCATCTTGGTTTTAAAATGTGTCCTTTTTTAAAAACTGCCTTATGATTGTGGATATGTTGTGAAACCAGAATGTTAGTACTCCTTCCCTAGAAAGAGAGTTGTGAGGACTTGTCAAGTTATTTAATAAGCAGCAGCAGTTTGAAGCCAAGCATTGTCACTGCCCCAAAAATGTGCTTCTGTGGGAACAGGAGCATTTCTGTCAGATGGTGTTTTATAAAGAGGTACATTGTGTGTAAGAAAGGCAGAAAATGCAGAGAGGTTAAGGAGGGAAGGATAGAAAGATTTGCCTGGAGAGAAGCACTGGATGAAGCCTAAATAAACCCTGGGAATGTTACTGTTTTTTAAAAAAAAAGAGTCTAAAAAGAGAGGTTTGTACTTGAATGCTGGCAGAAACAATTCTGGAAATATCTGTTCTAAAGCAGTGTCTTTTGCTGGCTGTTCTTTTCTGTTTATGGAAACAGGATTTGTACGTTCCTTGTAAATAAATAGAATTTCTTAAGAGAAACAGCCCAATTCCAGCACCAGTTTTTCTTTTTAACCAGAACAGCCTTTGTCATTTCCAAGTTTTTGACTGACTAGCCTCTTACTCAAAAAGAATACGTGAATTTTCTGTTGTGATTTTGCAGAGTGTTGCCGAACTCAGATGCGTCCTAGTTTTGTTAGAACATAGTAACAACCCAGCCCTGCAAACAGTGTCTAAAGTTCTTTGAGACTATTTATAGTATTGAAAATTACATTCACTGGTAAATATTTGCAAGGACTGGGCTTAAACTCTAGTATTAGGCAGAAAAGATGACAGTCTTCTAAAGAAAACTGGAACAGAGAAATGCAAAAATTAAATGAAAATTAACAAAAAGTAAAATGCTGAAGATATCTTCCCTCCTTTTTTTTGAGTAAATTTGATTTTATTTTACTATAGCTGTTTCATATCCCTCAATCTCCACCCTGCCCCCCCAACTGATTTTTCCTCGAGCCTGCTTACAGATTTTGTTTCTTTCACTGCTGTGCCAAGTTTCCATATGTTTGCTATCTTTTGTGGGAAACTGTTCTGCCCCAGTTTCTTTTTTTTGTTTTTTTTTTCTGTGTGTGTGTGTGTTGTGTGAACAGTGTTTCCCTGTCAGACTTCAAATGTGGCTTTTCTAACTTTGAGGTCACTGAATTCCTATTTATGCTCATAAGTCATTACCTATATTTTTGGAATTGCCATGTCAGCATAACTCTGATATATCATGTAATTTATTCTCTTATATTAGGTTATGCTTTCTGTTCTCAAATACGTTCTGACCACGTGAGAGTCCTTTGTTAGAAATTCTTAGAAAAAGAGAAAAAACAAGATTTTTCTCAATTACTGATTTATCCAATGCCCATGTTTGGTACGAATGTCAAAGCAGGTTTTTTTCTTGGAAGTTAGAAATAGGCTGCTGATCCCATTCACACCAAAGGAATGCAGTCTGTGCTTTCAGATTTTTCCTGCTTTGATTCTTTTTCTGCATTTCCAGAAACTGGAAGTTGTATATCTTTAGCCCCTTGTGCCTTCTGTTTTGCCGTGCTGGTGCTGTGAGAGGTGCAGGGTGGGTAACAAGGTTCTCAGCTGGCCAGCCTTTCGTATGATAGTTGTTGATGCTTTATATGATGATGCTTCATCTTGATATAAGTAAGAAATTTTTTTACAGTGAGAACATTCACTGGAACAACCTCCCCAGTGACATGGTAGAGTCCCCATCACTGGAGGTTTTCAAGATGCGATTGCACAGCGCACCAGATATCTCATGTAGGCTCCCTTTCCCACAAAAGGTTGGACAGGATGATCTTTCAAGGTCCCTTCCAACCTGGGCTGTTCTGTGATTCTATGATTATATATCCTGCTAGGTGGTGTCAAAGTAAAGGTGGAGATAAGTTTTCTGTGATGTTTTTAATATCTATATATTGCATAGATTGAGATTTGCACATACATACTCATCTGTCTTTTCACAACTGTAATTGTTTTGCTACTAGCCAAAATCTTCTAGCCAGCTAATTCTTCTAAAGACCTCTGCATAGAGATTGTGGCTCAGATCTCATTTAGAACTTTTCTTCTGAGAAAACCCACTGTTTTCCTAAGTACTGGATAATGATAAGGACCAGTTTCATGGGAGGGGCTCTCTTAAGGTCTGAAAAATAAGCAGAGCACCTTGTCAAAGACCAAAGCTCAAAAGAAAACAGGAAGAAGCCCCAAGACATATGAACCCCCGAGGCCACAGCCACACTCCAGTTGCTGGTTCAGACTGTTTCACTCACATACGTGCATGCATACACACATACGCACACACAGAGATGGCTGGGACTCCCCCGGTCCCATAGCAGACCCCCTTGTGCTATCATCCTTAGAGATACACAGGTACTCTCGCACCCAGAGCTGGCCAGTGGACACCCACTCACCTTCCTTGCTCCCAGGCAACTTCACCTAGCTGATGGCTACCGTGGCTTGGTCTTCACTGGTGCTCACACACTCACTTGCACACCTGCACTCACCTTGGTTGCTGGCACCACAGGCAAATGGGACCCTGTGACTCACAATCCCACTTTTCTTTGTGTAGTTAGGACATACAATCTTTTCTTTTTCTTTTAATGAGAAATACCAAGGTGACCCTCTGGTGTGAGGCTACTTAGAGACACTGGAAGCGCGTGCTCTGACAGCTCTTGCTTGTGATGGATCTGTTACTCCTTACATTTTCCCTAGATCAGAATTTTTTAGGTCAAGGTTGTCTTTGAACCTTCAGTGCATCTTGTCTGCAAGCTTTGAGGCTGATAAATGACTGTCTGTATTGTCAGATAGTTTAGTTCTATTGTCAGTTTTGCAATGAGGGAGAGTGCTCTGCATGTAAGTTTTACTGTGATACGCATTGGACTAGAAATGTTCTCTTCTCTCTGTTGTCTTATTTTCCTAGAAAGGTTCTTATTTGCTGTCTCTGTGCTTTGTTTTGTAGCTTAACAGATTGGAAATGTCTCCTATGTCTCCTAAGTGAAATCTGTCTGACACCTGGTCATTAAACAGAATACATTTTATTCTTTTGTTTTTATTTCCAGATCATTTTCAGATTTCTAGGCCAACTTGTCTTCCACTTGGTAGTGTTAATATGTTTTATTTTATTGTTTATGGATATTAAATGGTCTTCCACATTTTTAAAACTGTCCTTTCCTATTAAGTTAGTCATTTGATACTCTTTTAAAGCATCTGTTTTGGAGTTGTTCTGCTTAGTCTTGGTCTAGAAATAGCTCATTTAGGATCTTGTTGAACTCATTAACAGAGAAGATGAGGCAGAATAAATGCTGTCTGCTGATGATGCTTTTGCATTCCTTAATATTGCAGGCTGACTATTCAAGAACCTACCCTAATTTTTAGTTTTCCTATATAGTTTAATCTGTTCCTGATATTTTAGCTTAGTTAGAGGAATTCAATTATATTTACTTTTAATTTTATTGTTTCTTCTTAGCCTTGGTCACTCTGTGTCATTTTCTACTAGTTGGTGGAAGAATGATTGGCAAAAATGAAGGCGAATGAGGACGACTTTTGTCCTAGATGTACTACAGGTGGTTCTGGCTCCCTCCTTTCTTCTATTTTGCTTATTTTTCTTTAATTCATTACAGAAATACTCTGTAAGGATATAATCTGATTTATATCTTATTGAGTCAAGTTCGGACTGTGAGGGAAAATTTGTATAAAAGTCTACTTCAGTGGCAAAAGTGAGCATGGATAACTTGGTAATTGGTGAAATAGCAGATGGACTATGAAAAAACAAACACGCAGATAAGGTCAAATTGTTTTTTACTCTTTATTGCCAGCAGCACACACATGCAAAATTGGTGCCAAAATGCTGTTGACGTTTAATTGTAAACTTTCAGTATTTTTCAATTGCATCACAAGCTTTTCAGAATTAGAATAGTCTGTAAAACAGTAAATATCCTTTAAAAGAGCAAAACCAATTGCCATCACTTCGGATCAACTGGTTTCCATCGTGAATTCTACATTTACAGATGTATTTTACATTTTGTTTTCACTGAACTGTTTGGCACAGTTCTTGTTTTTTACAATTGATTAATTTTTGTTTGACTGAAGCGTGAGTGGTATAATGGTACTTCAGACCACACCGAGATTTGTAGAGTAGGCCAAGCACAACCTGATCCAGCATTAGCAAACTGTCATCATACGCAGTATGATAGCAGTACCTGACCTTCCTCTGTGGTTTTTTTACCAGTGAAACCAGTAGGTGTGAAAACATTGTTTGTGTTGTAATACCAATTTGAAAATTAGTGGACTGATTTAAAGAGGCAAATATTTTGGCGGTGTACAAATTTTTAGTTTTCTTAGACATCTTCTATGTAATGTATTGAATTGGGGAAAGTCAGTGCTGACAAAACATTTGGCTACTGATGTCTTTCTGCTCAGTTTTTTCAGCTTTGTTATTAAGGTGCAAAGCATTTATATAAGAGTATGACACATTCTTAAAAGCCAAAACTTTTGTTTCCCTGTTTTTTCTGATGTTCTTTGAACCACATACCACTTCATGAATGAGAACTCCATGCTGTTGCCCTTCAGATAAAGAATTATTATGGTTTATAAAAAAAATCAACATTAAAAACCACACACAGCAATAGATACCTGTACTTCTATAGAGTGTTTAAAATTAGATTAAAAACATTGAAAATCAGTCCAGTATCTTACAGAATTTATGCCACTGCATCTGCAAAATGCACATTTGTATATGTTCAGTCTACGAGTGCACCAAGAGAAGGTTCATATTCCAAAGGATGCTTTGGACCTCAGGTGCCAAAGATGGGCTTTGCAGCCATTTTTGTACCTCTTTGATTTTGTAACCCTTCTTCCCCCTCTTCCCTCCCCATCTTTTAACATGAAGTTCAGACTCTTCTGTGCTTTGCTTACAGAGCTGCAATTGTATCTTCTTGTCACCCTGTGTTCCTGAATTTTAAATTGAAATACAAGATAGCCCTTTTTGGAGAAGTATGCCTCTGAGTTTTATCCCTTCTTTCTACTTGTCAGTGAAAATACATTTTTTTTTCCCAGGCTGTTCTCACTCCCTTCCATCTTCAATCTTTTCACTAGGCTACTTGCCATTTAGAAAGGATGAAGCAGATTCTACTGGAAAACACAAATAGTAGATGGGTTATCTACGTGTGAAGCTTCTAGGCAATGTAAAGGGAAATACAACTTAATTGTTGTTGTTTGTTTGGGTTTTTTTGTCTTAGTCTTTAGGGTATAAGAGGTGATCCATTGATCTGTGCTAATATGACTTTTCAGTATGCCAGTGGTGGTCTCAGTTTTTAGTGTGGACAAAATTGCAATGAAGTATCTAGTAAAGTCAGTCTATCCTAATTTCTCATTTGTTCTTCTGCCTGCTATGAAGCCTTTTAGAAAGTTCCTGTTCAGTACTGAACAGCATCTACTGGAATTTGAATTGCATGTGTAAATTGGAATCCTTCTGGTGAGCAGATGCAGAGAGATATTTTTAATTAACAGAAAAAGAAATTAAATTTTACTAACCAGACTTGAATGGGTGAACCACATGCAGGACATCAATCAACTGAAATTAGTCTTTACATTACTGAATACATAGACTATTCACAAGTTAATTTTGGTTCTTATCTTAACAGTTTGGATTTAGATGGCGACATGAGAAAGAAGTAATTTCAGGAAAAGGTAATGCCGTCTTTCATTTTATATTACATTTCTCCTTGATGTTTTTCTTGCTGCTTTTTGACATAGTTTTGTTAGACAGTATTTGACAATAGCAGTAAGTTAATCAGATAATAATGGACAATAAATTGACCTAACTTCTAACTTTGCTGGTTTATGCCACACAGCTCTAGAGTACATGCTGATCTACATATATTAAAATTAAGATAACATGGTTTATTTTCACAAGTTCGGATTTGTAATGAACACCAACGTAATGCATTTGATAATGTACAATTTCATGGATATGTTTTTTAGCTGCTTTTCTCCAGTAGTTCTGTGTTACCTCATTAGTCTTTGATACCTTTAATTGAAGCCTCTCAATACTTTTCCTCAGGAAATAATTTTCTTAACAGTTTCTCCAATGCCGTTTTGCAAAATGTTAAACTTGTTAATTAAAAGCTCCATGTGTGATGTCTGTTTTAGGCTGGACTGGTTTTGAAAGCTTCAGTGGGAATCAGTGGGAATGCTCATGTCTCCCAATCCTGTTTCTAAATCAGTAGTTTATTTTGGCTGCTTCTGTGTGTGAGTTCTTACTGATGTGTTACTGGGACTTTGCACAGTGGTCCCCATTCCATGGCCTAGGCGCATGGACTTTTTCAAGTAGCTGAACAAGCAAGAAAACGATGTGAATGTATTGCTGTTCCTGTGGGTAGATCTGCATACACATGTACGGTTTTCAGAAGTCATGCATGCACGCACAAGAAAATTACATGGAGTGGTACTGTTGATCAGAACAGTTCTGTAAGCAGGTCTATTTCTTGTAATATATTATAAGAAGTTAGAAATACACTTGTTTTTAAAAAAAATTATAGCTAACAGTAGGAAGTGTGAACCTTAATGGTGGGGTTTTTTAAACTATAAAGAGTAAAGCTCCTAAAGGTAGTTGTAGTCATATGTTGCATTCAGCACTACAGATTATATTAACAGATAGTTACATTTGATATAGTTATATGCTTTATTGAATGCTTTAAAAATATAATTAAAATTAAATGAGAAATTAGTAATTTATGAACAATTATGTCTTCATGGGGAAAAAGAATGTAAAGCTGCATTGTACTTTTTAATATCTGCTACTCCATATTTAAAAATGTGGGAGAAAGTGCAAAATTACATGTTTTAAGCTTTTTCATGAAATCCTAATGGACAGCGTACAATTGGAACATAAGACTAGAGCAATAGTATCTTTCACCACTAAGGGGCGCAAGAATTCAACCTTATCTTCTGTGTGAGATGCTCCTTGCAAGTGCGGTTTCAAATGATCATTTAAAAAAGGTGTGAATCTTTGATGCCTTTCTTTTGCTATTTTTAAGTATAAATCAGTGATATAAATTGCTTTAATTATATGTAATAAATCATTAATACCTACCTGTCTGATAATTCACATTAAAAAAGGGAAAGCATGTGCGTATTTTAGCTGTGGCAATAATAGTGGTAATGAGAGCCACTGGTGGTGGACTCTACTATGGTTTGGGGTATGTTAAGAAGGGACCATAGGAATGGGTTACTCACATTTGGTTGCTTTGTTTTCGATGTCTGGCTTTGTAAGGTCATGGAGAAGAAGAAGGGTTAGGATGAGTGAAAGGAGAGGTATCATTTGTATTACTAATTGTAAATGCCAAATGATTTCTTTCTCTTCTTTTCTTTCCCACTCCAATCTTTTGCCGTAGGTGTTTTGAAAGGAGGTCATATTGGAGATTGCTGTTGTATCTCCTTAAATTTAAAATGGTGGTTAATGGTGTAATAACGTTGCCAGTTTCAATAAATGGTTCCACAAAATGGGCATTTTCTTAATTAAAATCTTAAGGTAGAAACCCTACTTTAAATTTTATAAATCAGTTAATAGTAGGTACATGAGTTAGTTGAAAATAAATCATTAAAATGAAAAGCTTTTAAGCTATTTAAAAAATATATTTGACATGCCTTCCCAAGCACTTTTTCTCTATTTTCAAAGCATAGATAGTAAGGTATGGCATAAAATTTTAAAATAAAAGGTATTTTAAGCAAAAGGCGATAGTGGTAAAAGTTTTGTGTAGGAAAATAGGCAACAAGTTCATTGGGTAGAGGTGAAATAGGACTTTTTCAGCAATATGCAGAAAGCTGAACATGTGGGTACATTTGCTGTTTTCTACTTATTTGTTTTAGTAGATTAAGTAGTAAAATACTCAAACCAGACAGTGTTTGGCAAAATAGGGTTTAATACCTGCAATTGATCTATTCTCCATTTTTTCATTATTTCATTGAACTAAAGTTTCACTTTTAGCATAATAGTGTCTTTCTTAGCCTATTTTATATATGGATAAATGCACATATAATACGCTTTACCTTATTTAAACAAATGTTCTTCCAAACCTGTTTCCATTTATTTTTTCTCAGTAATTTCCTCCATGGAAAATAGGCAGGGTATCAATACCTGGATAGTGCACCATGTATCCATGTACCACTCTGGTACATCTGAGTTCTGATCAAAATGCCTTAAAATCAGTCTTTTGGCTCTCTAGATTTCCTTCGTATATTTAATTTTCAGTACTTCATTTAGCTTGTAGTACTTACATTTTCCACCTATTCTGCTCTTCTGCAGGAAGCAGAAGGTGCTAATAGTTTTTGAAAGCACACATTTAACAGCCAGATTATAGGAGTTATAATTCTGAACATGAAGGCAGTAACTTCCCTGCAGCTCATAGCAAGGTGACAGAACTTCAGATGGAAATGGAATTTGGGACATATATTTTTCTTGGTGATTAGATTAGGTAACTGTTCTCTAGGCATGCTGGTTTCTGTGTCTTCCTTTCTTGGACAGCTAACTGGGAAAAGTCATGTTTCAAGAACCGAATAATCTGGTCCGTAGTTCCCTTTGATTTGGGTTCTCCATATACAGGATGGGGATTATAATGATCTCCTACTTTGCAAAAGTATGTTTTTTAATGCTTTTATGACATTCAGCTATACTAGAGTGATAAATACTACTGAAAAAGCCTTCAGAAAGAGTGGAATTCTGTATCCAAGTCAAGGTTTGAATATGTGTTGTAGGGATTGCAGTGTGAAAGGATGGGTCAGAGAAGCCTGGCTGTTTATACACATGTATGGTGTGGAGTAGGGATCTACTAAAAAAAACCTCACCATGATTTCAGATATTTAGATGATCATAAATGCAAGTGAATGTGTAAGGGCACAGAATTATGGTGGTTTACACAGTCAAGTTCTGGTTTACCTAAGAATTCATTGCTTGCTTTAGCAATCTGAAGATACTGCTCCAACTATATTCTTGTGAACATATCCAGTGTCACATCCAAAATGTAGAATATCCAAAATGGATTTTGCATACTGTAAAGAGCAACTAATCATAAATAAAACTGATGTTTCTCTCTTTTCTCTCTACCTGTTTTTCTGGGTTTGTTTTGGGATTTTTTTCAGAAGATGTGAAGTAAACAGAGTCTGGTTAAGTTCCTGAAAGTTTTATATAGTATAAATTTTTCCTTGTTGATTTTTACTGCTTTGTAATGGATATAAATTATTCCTGATGACACAGGGTACTGATAGCCATACCTTACATAGGGTTAAACATATTTAATGTATATTAATCTGAAACTTTTTTTTTTTTAAATGGGAGTCCTGGGGGTTTTTTTGCTTCAAGCGTTAGCATTGGAAGTGGTTTTACACTGCAGAACTGAAGTATCTGAGGACACTGCCAATCCATTAGTTAGCAGCTTAAGCAGAATGTTCTGAGGTTAATCGTTCACCAACGGTCCTGCTTGGTGAGCCTATTAATACACATCCTTATTGCCAGCTCTGCATACAAATCAGTTTTCTGCAAAGGGAATATCTTTATTACTGCAATATTGGGAACCCAGTGGTGTAAACAACATTGATTATGTGCAAATTGTTTTAAAATTAATGTTGTATTTAACATAATAAACCCAAGGAAGCTTTTAAAGATGCCATATAGTTTCTCATAGAATTGGATTTCCTTTTCTTAAAAGAAAAGTAAAGTGTTTATGGAAAGTCATTAGAATACAAATTGTATGTCCAGTATATGAGGTAGACTAGTAAGGTAATAGAACATGGGAATCTTAATTTTGTGCATACGTGATACTTTGAATAGTTTGATGTCATCAAAGATGAATGTCTGAATTACACCTCCTGATTCATCAGCCTCTGCTAAGTAAGTAATCATTTAAGATATAGAAAGTATTCTAGTAACATGCATTTCTTCAGAGTTCAATATTAGGCTTATTATTTCATAACATATACCTTCATCTATACACTGTAAAACACAGTTCAAGTTATATTCTTTCTTTGCAAATATGTAATATTAGACAAGTATGAATGATTGCTTTGTCGTTATCTGTTACTGTTTCCTTAATCTAGATGTTACTTTTGGATTTTTTATTTGAAAGAAATGGAAAACAAAAAGCAAAAACTGAGGAAAAATGGAGGAAACAACAACAAACCTACTCTTCTTGTTAATCATTGAACCACGGTTTGCTGTTTTTGACCTCTTTAAAGGTCAGTTTTCCATTTTTTATTTGAAAGAAATGGAAAACAAAAAGCAAAAACTGAGCAAAACTGGATATAACAACCCCAAACCTATCCTTGTTAATCATTGAACCACGGTTTGCTGTTTTTGACCTCTTTAAAGGTCAGTTTTCCTGTGGAAATAAGCACTGTGATGAGAAAGAAGGCCTGAGGAGCTGGGAGGTGAATTTTGGTTACGTTGAGCATGGTGAAAAGAGGAATGCACTTGTGAAATTGAGTAAGTCAGCCCTTCAAGGATATGTACACTTAAAAGAAGACAAATATCTTGTGCTTTAAAAGCTGTCGAGTGAGACCCAATGATAATTATATTACTTCATGCAACATGGAAAATGCTGAATAGGAGATAATTTTGTTAAATTAATTACAGGTAGTATGATGGTCTTGATTTAGAGAGAACGGCTATTATCACTACGTATGACAAAGTTGTTACAGGTTGAGCACATCATGCTGTATAATTGGTGGTGTCATAAAATTAGAATCACTGATTATAAGCTGTTTTGTATACAAGCATGTCTGTTTTTAACAGACAATACTGCATGACAAGGAGGGTTACATCATTGTCATTGCTTAATTACATGGCTTAGGAGTCCTTAGGGCTTTGCACCAGACAACTTCTTGCACACCTTCAGCTCTAATTTTATTTTTAATACCTATGTTTTCTTCCAAAAATTCTAACTTTAATTAAATCAGTTCCTTTTCCAGTCTTGTCTCTTGAGTGGGGTTTTCTTATTCAGTATGATGTACATTTTGGTATGTTCATCATATAATTAAACTTACCACAGTTTACACAGTTACTTTGTGTAAAACAAGCTACGGTGTTTTTTTCTTTTGTGAACAAGACACTCCATGTGGCAGCACTTGGTCTCTGGCAAAGCTCTAAGAGACCTACGGGTCTTCAGTATAATTGTAGAACAATTTGAGCTGTCCACAAAGATCCATAAAATGGGATATCTGTATGTGATAAGCACTGATACTTTTTTATGAAGATTTGCCAGTGCTAAACCTGTGATCTTTGTCCAGGTTTAGTGAAATCTGGGTTTGTACTGAAGATCTTTATCATGGTATTTTTCTCAACCCTGGCTGCAATTACACTGTAACTTTTGTTTTAAAGGAAAAGCTACTGAAATTGGAAGATAGTATTCTATCTAGTTTTGTATATGTATTAATAAGTTTTGTTAATTATGCTTATCAAATACATGAGCGTCATGTTCTCATTTTCTCTTTTTCAGGACTATGTCCAGAATGTTCCTCCAAACTAAACTTTCATCACCGGTAATGAAATGCTTTGAAAATATGGAGGCTGATTTATTGGTAGATTACAGTTACGATGAAAAACAAGTAGGGGGAAAACTTCAGCTAGATGATTAGGAACTTCATTTTTGCTGAAATAGATTCTGTTCTGGAGTTCTTATGAAGTCACTGGCTTGACACTGTTGAGAGTTAGATATTGTTGTGCTAATGAAAGTACAAAACCCCTCAAACCACCACCCCCACGAAAGTTTCCTTTGCTGAATTTCAGCCCAGTAATTATTTTTCTTTTCTGAAAGTTTATGCAAAACACTGCCTTTTTTATTTTCCCTCTTGCTTTGTTGAAGAGCTGGAATGCTTTTCCTTGTCTTAAAAATAGTGGGCTTATGTGTGAGTCAAGTGACTGTGCTTTGAAATTTTGTATTTGAGTATTTGTTCTTCTTTGAGAATCACTTATTAATAGAAGAGAAAAATAGTGAGTTTTGAACCTATAAAACGTGTGCATTAAGATTTGATTTGTGTTTTATTGTTCTCTATAATCTTACTGAATTCCACAACTATTGATACTCAGTTTTTATGTTTTTTCTGAATCTTGATATGTCATTAACTTAGTTGCACAGCTCAGTAATTAAGCCATACAATTATCTGAAAAGCATATGAAAAAGAAACCTTTGAGCTAGAAAATAATGATTTCTTTTTTAAAGTAACACAGATCAAAGGTGCGTCTAGATGGATATATTCAACATAGTTAATTAATCCATTTTAAAAGTTAATTCATATTCAGTTTCATTAAAGCACTGTGTAGGCACATATTAAGAAGGAGAATTAACTAACTGCGATTGGTTTGATTTGTCTTTCTTCTTTCTGGAACTGAAATTTTAAAACCACTTGAATTCAGAATAAGCATGGTCGAACATTTTCTCTTTGTCAGCTGCAGAGTAATACTTACTTTGAAACAATTTTAGTGACTTCTTTGTCCAAAGAAGCAGGAAAAAGTTAGCCTACGTTCATACAATAAGCCTATATAAGTAATGCTGAAAATAAAATACATGGGTTGTTGATCTGCAGCAGGTTCTTAGGCTTGAGATTCTTCTACCTCAGGTTTTGTTGCTATCAAATATGAAAATATATTTAAAAACCTGTATTAACTGTGTTTTTCTCATTACATATATACAAAATCATTAGCTAAAAGAAAAAAAAAGATTTCAATACAAATAAGAATTTGGCATGTTATAAAATTATTTTCTGTATTTAATCTTTGATTACCAATTCACTGTTTTTGTTGCCTGCATCAGTGTCATTTTAGCAGCTTTAGCATTTCCTATCCTTTGTCTTTAGCTGTAGAGCTCTAGTGTTTCTATAGCACTTTTCATTTTAACTAGATTATTTTTTTTCAGTTTAACTAGTGATAGGTTTCAGAAAAAATGACAACTGTTTGACTGAACTAAATACTTAAGATTTACTGTTGCTTGAGTAAGTATGATAGAGAAGGTGTACGTTAATTTTTTTTAAAGGAGGAAAGAAGTCAAAGCACGCAAGAAAAGAGGCACAGCTGTACCGAATTCTAAAGAGCCAAAAATTAAGAAGAGAAAATTATCTTGTTCAGCAAAAAAGAAATCCAAGAAAAAGACCCATAAAGGTAAATCTAAATTTTAGACCTTCAATTTTTAAAATATTCAAATGTTAGTTGAATCTTAGTTTTGCTGTAGCTGCATATGTGTAGATATAGATATATAATTATATATAAATATAGATATGTAATTTTATTGACTGTGTAACACAGGTAGTCAAAAACATAAATTTCTTTGGTAAAATTTCCAAGGTGCACAAAAAAGATAAATTTGGAGGGGAAAAGAAAAAAGATAAATTTCTTATATTTTACAAAGAGGGAGAGCCTTTTGAAAAATATGCATTGCAAGGAAAAGTTGTCCAATTCTTGGATATTGCATACCAGAAAGGGTTGTGAAGTATTTTAATTCCTTGAGGCTTTGGGGTTGAAAGCCTTTTGGAAATGTTAGATAACCTTTTTACACGACTGATCTTGGGATAATGTATTTGAGCTCAAACTGATGACCTTTGAACTCATGAAAAAAATAATCTTTTTAGTTCAGTGTTTGCTTTCTTTCTTTGTATGGTGTGTGCGTGCATGTGCACGTTTATGTGTAATATATTGTGATAGAAATATCCTTGTAAACAATTTAAGATAATGGATAAAACTAAGATAAGCTTACTATTTTTTAAATAGTGTTTCTTTCCAGATCAGGTTTCTTCAGAAGATTCAGATAATTCTGATAAAGGTAAAGTATTTGAATATCTTCTGCATTTTATGTTTTTATAATAAGTTGTATTATTTCATGGTCATTTGTCATTGGTTGTAGTTTTATTTGTTGGCAGTTTTAGTATTTTATAAGATGATAAGAATGCTGTGTGAAAACAAGCAGAGATATGAAGGGTCAAAATAATTACTTAGAAATTCTTGGAGAAAAACTGCAAGGAATTTTAAGGGGGAAATCTTTTAAGTTTAAGTAAGGAATAAAAATGTGGGCAGATAACAGAATGGAAATAATCAGAAAGATGGGAGGTTGGGTTGTTCCAGAAAAGAGTAGAGGGTGCAAAAATAGGTACGTTGTTAATAATTACATGGGTCCAGGTATGCAAATGTGTGCTGTGTAATGCGTGCTGTGTAAAGAAAGTACTTTTCCGATATAACTGCTACATTTCCTTTCAGGGAATGATACTAATACGTACTCTACTCAAAAAATTAATTAGATTTTAAATAAATCCTAGGCTTTAACTAGTCTTTTCCAGGTACCACCTGTAGTACCTCAGAGACCTACTTGTTGCGGGTGGATGCACTCGGAGTCTCAGTGACTCTTTAGGCACTGGTTGTCTCTCTATCTCAGTAATTCCAGTCCCCAGTTTCTTTTTTGATGAAACAAGCCCCATCTCCTGGTCATGCCAATTCTTGCTGCAAACTGTCTAGAAGGGATCGAGTGTTTCTACTGATTGCTTTACTGTGTTTCTACTGATTGCTTTATGGTGCTATATGTTTTTAGGAATGTCCTCAGCACCTACATTTTCCCAGCTAGATACAGGAAGACCTGAAGCGCTTTACTTATGACTCAGACCATGCCCTAAGTCTCTGTTTTGTTAGGAAAGCTCTATTGGAAGACTGAGTTTTTTTAGGTCAGGGCATATTTCTGATAATGAGATTTTTTTTGTTGTTTTCACTCCTGTATACTTACATGAAACAGTTATGCAGTAATCCATGTTTTCTGACAATTTAACTGATAAATTACAATTGATAAAAGTTGTCATTCAAGTAGAAGTAAAGTAATTGATTCATTTAATATCATGAGTTGAAACTGTATTGTAATTCTGGGTTTGTGATTATAAACCCTTAATTTTAGGAGCAAAGTGCTATGCCGCTGTTGTGTCGAGATCAGTGTTTTGACATGATTGTTGTTATGTTTGGCCAAAATACTGGTTTGTGATATCTAAGAGTCTTTTTGATGCTGTATTGAATAATATTGGAAAATGTTTCCAGTTTTAATTTATGCAAAGTAAAGTGTTCATTTATTCTCATGGTTACAATTAAATGTTGCCCCTAGCATTATACCATCTAAATAATTAAAAAAAAAAAGATAAATTCTTTTAAAATTTATTTCATAAGCACTTTACATTTTTTAACAGATTCAGGTAACAGCGATGCACAAGATGGTCCTTCAGATGCTGACTTTTGGAAAGGTCCGCCACAAGAAGCAGATGAAAAATCACGGTTAGTTTGATCTAGTAAACTTGTAGCTAGTAAAACATACTGTGTCCATTCAGAATTGAAAAGGCAGAGATTTTTTTCCTGAGTGTTTTAATGAATATTCTGACATTTAAAATTATGTCAGATCTCCTTCCATGTAGTGAACCTAAGTATGTTTTTTTTAAAGAGGAGACATACACAACACTGGAGAGGAAACCTTTGTCAAGGCACTACCGTTCCACTGTTGTCTTACGTTCTATCATGGCATTAACTATCTTAGAAGTAAATCCTAACAGTCAACTCACTGCTGTTGCACAGACGGGGAAATGTGAAGGGTATTGGAATGTACTGAATACGTCAAAATGGTCTATACCAGCTACAAATTCTCATCAGAGGTCTGCTGAATCTTTTTCATACAAAAATTATCTCCTAGGTACAGATCCAAAGCAGAACTGTCTTTGACCCTTTTTTTTTTTTTTTTTTTTTTTTTTACAGGGAAGAGGAGTTTGATGAGTATTTTCAAGACTTGTTTCTCTGAAACTTGAAATTGATGTAGGCTGATTTTCTTCATGAGTTGTCAAGATGCAAGTCTGGAAATCCAGTCGTAATTAGGGACCAGAGACCTCTTTCTGCCAGCATGCCTTTTCTACAGTCACTCATATGGACCATCTCAGTAGATTATCTTTGTAGAAGGCTTCAGGTCTAAAAACTTTCTTTTTATTGTGGTAGGCTGTATACTCATGAAATAAGAGAAATAATTTTTTCAGCTCAGTGAAAAAGATCTATGCCACCCAAACTTAAAAGTAGGAAGGATGTAAACAAAGAAGAATATAGTTTCTTGACAATACATTAAGGAAGTTGGCTGCTTTTTATTTTATCCTAAACTTCAGTTGTTAGATTTTTGTAAAGGGGCATTTTGTAAGATTCTGTTATTAGTTTAAAGCTATACACTTTAATATATTCACATTTCTAATTTATGAAACAAGAGTTAATTGCCTTAAATTTATTGGTCATGTAGACTTTAATATTCAGGTATTAGTCTCTGTAAGTATTTTCAAATGCTATTGGAGAAGTTAGATTTTTATCAAATATGTATTTTGCTTGAATTAAGTAAACCACATCTGAAGTGTCTCCCTTGCTCCATCGAAAAGTTTAGTTCATTGTGACTTTGTTTTAAATTTTAGTTATAATATGATGTGACTGATAATTCCACTTATAAAAATCTGGTTGCTTGGTGAAATTTTTGGTGTAAAAAATAAAGTGTGTGGCTTTCTACTGGAGATGCACATGTGACTTGTATGTTCTCTATGGTTTCTGATCTCCTTAACATTGATTGAACGTTAATTCTTCTTTAAAGTGTAATCCTAAATATACAAGTAAAGAACGTATATTGCTTGTGAAACTTACTGGATTCATCTTCCTCTTCAAATTGCAACACAACTTTAAACATTCTTTATTTTATGTTTCCAAAGAAACAGTCTGCACATGGATAGTTACAGTGGCTATTTTCTTTGTCAGATGAAAATTACTTTGGATAGAAAGGACAAACTTTTTTTTTTTTTTAAATTAAATGTTCATGTTGATCTGAGGAAAGTTAATGTTGTATAAAACATATATTTTGATAAGTACTTCCCACTGTAGATATATTTATAGAAAGTATTTATAATAAGTATTTGATGTGGCAAATGTAAGAGCGGAGATGGTTGCAGTGTATTTATGGACATTTTACATGCATTCATATGAATAAGTTGAGAACTCTATTTACAAGTATTACTTAACATAATTACATTTTAAACAGTTTGTACTTACATAATAGATGACAGTACAAGGACATATTTAGGGTGTCCTTGAGTAAGAAATAAACGTAGCCTTGCGTGAAGGCTTCTTTAGGTAAGAAGGTGGATTTAAAGATTAATTCTTTCTCATCTTGCAGGCTTGGTTGAGAGTCAAATCCAGTCTGCAGCAATCTGCTTACGTGTATGCAACTTGCCCAAAGGGGCTTTTGTCAAATGCGTGGCTATATTTGTTGCTTCAAGTATTGTATATTATGTGTTCTGGATAACTAACTCCTCTTTGGGTCTTCAAAATACAGTTATGAAATGGTACAACATACATATTAAATACATCATTTAATACAGTTTGAATAAAATTACATGATTAAACAACCTTGAAATAGCTTTCTTTAGTATCTGCATTTAATACAGAAAATCATACATGATACCCAGTTTTATGTCGTAAGTAAGTTTTCATAAAATATTTGGCCCATTTATAAATAAGGATGTAATAAGTGGGATTTTTTTTTGTGGATTCCTTTAATTTTGGGTGATAGTTGTGCACAGTATCTATGTTCGTAGAGCATTTTTACAAAGGTATATAATATGGCAAATCATTCAATCATTCCCCCTTCGCTGTGGATGCTGAGGGCCCTTCAGAGGAAAAAAAAAAAAAAAAAAAAGGGGCTCATTTTTTTTAAGGGTGGGGAAAAAAGGGCTTTAAAAGTTTCCAAAAAAAAAAAAAAAATCAATCATTCCCCCTTCGCGGTGGATGCTGAGGGCCCTTCAGAGGAAAAAAAAAAAAAAAAGTATGAGTCTACTTTCTTTACAGGAGGAAGAAAAGTGGCAGGATTGAGTCCACATGTCAAACTTGTTTGTTGCAGGAATTGCATTTGACATCCATCTCCTCTTGGATTTGGAACTGGTTCAAGTGAATACTCAGATCTGTGCATAAAATAGTAGCCATTTTCCTTCCTTCATATGCAGGAGGAGCCAGCTGCATGACACCTGAATAGAAGGTATGGAGTGAACTCTGTCATTCTCCAACAGAAGGTTTTGGTAGGGAGATTGTTGTTTTTGAAGAGCTAATTTGTGTGCAGTCTGTCGTCTTGGTTGTAGAAAGGGAGGTAATGTGCATTCTGATGTGCTCTATTCTGTTGTCCTCTCCCTCCCAAGATGAAATTGGTGCCAGGTCATTGGTTTTCAAAGACTTTCATTTACTGCATTTTTAAACAGGTGCCTTGGGAGTACATGAGCCTTTTAAAATGCCTTTGAATGTAGATCCTGCTGTAGATATACTGGTATAGGTATCTTAGTAAACTCTTACTTCTATGCAAAGCATGATGTTTACGATCTGCCTTTTTAGATTTTTACAATAAAATGTGGTGAGTTTAGGAACTGTGGGCAGAGCCATTTGCACATGGGCAAAAGAGTGTTTTCTCTGAGCTGCGGCTACAATTTACAGATTTATCCTTGGTAGTTTTGAAAAAATACTGTGTACCATGGACCTGCTTTTAATGAGCCAGGGAATTGTGTTGGGTATTCCTAAAGTGAAGGAGATGATTACCCTAGAACTTTATATTGAGAATGAAGGAAAAGGACAATTCCAGATTAAGGAAATACACATCATATAAAAATCTAAATATACAAGTTATGAAAATTGCAATTTTTTGTTTGAATAGTACATGTCAGATTTCATTCAGTAATTTCATATAAGATCTGTCAAAATTATTTATGTTTTTTCTGGATAGTGTGTAGAAGTTACATATTTTAATAAAAATACTGTATATAAATTGAGTGACATGAAAAAAATCTAGAATGCATAGTTAACTCATTTTGCACCATTATTTTTTCTTTTAATTTTCCAGTTTTTAATTGTAACTGTTTACTTCATTAAAAATTATTTCCAGCAAATGGCAGGTGTTTAAGAGGATTGTTAAGAGATCGATCTATACTATTCTATGCGAAGCAGAAATCCACTGGGGCTCACTGAAGTTCTCTCTAGATGTCTTTTCTGTAGCAGAAACAGTGTCTGAGACAAAGAACTACAAAATTATACATGTTTTGGATTTTCCGTCCTCTCCACTTCCTCCACCACCTCCAGCTGCATTTTCAGCTAAAAAACAGAGAAGTGAAGTGAGTATTTTCTGTTAACTTTAGCTGCTCTAATTTCTTGTTAAAAATGTGTTGCTTTTGTGATATGCATAGTATGTGTGTTTGACCTTCTGAAAACTGAACATGCTTTCACGACTTGTCTGGGAAAATGGAATAAGAAACAATAACACATGCTATATATACATATGTGTATATAGTGTAGCAGTTGATGCCAACATTTCTCAAAGGACCAAACACACACTGAACCACTCTTACTGGAAAGTTTCAGTAGCTAAATATATATAACTGTCCCACACATACAAAACTGAGGTATGCAAGCCATGCAAAAGACATAAACTCTTGGATCAATATAATCTGTGAATCTATTTTTGAAGCAAATGATACAAAAACTTTAATTTGACCTAATTGTATAAGCCTTTATCCAACCCTGCGTGAATCCCTTTGTAATTACCAATTAAGAGAGAGACGCTTTTTATGTTTGTTATCTGTAGGTACTGATTCTGTTACTGTCTCTCTCAAATGATTCCACAGATGTTCATTGGTCATAGTTAAGATTCTTTCAATGTAATAAATTGCGTTTCCAGGTTCATTTAAGGTAAGATACCAATATTAGAATTAAAACTTACATTTGAAAGCTGTGGATCACCATGTTACTAGGTCATTTTCGACCCTTTCCACCTGCATTGAAACATGTCACATAATCAGTGTCCTACCCTCTGTAATTTGTGGATATAATCAACACTATGTTACTAACTATGTATTTTATTTTCTTAGTTTAATACTGTATTCTGGTTTAGGTTCTGTTCTGAACTTTCCACTGTAGTGGTTCAGCAAATATGTTTCTTTTGTTTTCTGTCTACTGAATGGCTAAGAACAGCCAGGTCAGTGTGATCTAGAGAAACCACTGTGGTTCAGCGTGTATCAAATTATTGTTTGTATGAACTGACTTAACAAACCCATATATTTACATGGCCTTGATTTGACGATGTCAGATCTGTTCTTCACAAATGTGCGTGGCCTCATTCCAGCGCACATTTAAAAAGATGCAAATTAATTCACTTACATTTTGTGATACCAATTATGTTATGCAAAGGTCAGAGCCTTAGCTTCTGCAAATCAGTCTGTCCATGCTCGCCTGTGTAATGTTCCTTGTGGGAAAATGCTGCTTTCCTTAAGTCAGTGACTAAGTGATTCCAAAATACCAATGCTGTAAGATGGTCCTAACTTCAAGCGGGAGTGGAAATACCTGAGTCTTCCTAAATGTATAACGTAATTTTTGTTTAAGAACCTTATGCTAGAGGACATAGGATCAGACTTTAGTAACTATACTCTTTGCCAAGAAAGCAAATGTATAAGGAGGTTTGTGTGTAGGTCCCGGGTTGTTTGGGTTTTTTTTTTCTGCCGGTATTTCTGTGAAGTTCAGATGCTTACATTCCAGTGTAAGGAAAGAGTACTTTGTTCATACTCACAACCAGCTAGTTCTCAGCAATAAATTAATGTTAAATAAATAAGATTATATGATTAATTGCAAAAAATTGTCTTTAAAAATAAATTTGGGAGGCAATGGGGTGGGCATAATTTCTGTGAAAGTGTGTGTAAGTGGTATCACAGTGTGAGCAGGCCAAAATATTTCTTGTAATTTTATTATAGT